TAAAGTCATTGTTGAGGTTGTGGTTTGAATCACTGGGCTAGTCATATAGAAAGAGGAGACAGAAAAATTTCTGTATTGGTTTTTGACTCATTTGCTTGAACTAAAGAATCATAATCCTATCCAACATAGTGGATTAAATTCATGTTTTAAGGTGAATGATAAAAGACATTCAATAATGAAGCAATTCTAACGTATGTCAAACTGTTCTAGAATGCAGAAAACCCTTTTTATTTGATTTTATAAATATAGCACAACTCTAGTATGGACAAAGTACAAAATATTTAACATCAGTATTTACCATAATGAATTCATGAACTAATTAATTGGAAGAGGGAGAGAGAGAGAGAGAAAGAAACAGAGAGAGAGAGAGAGAGAGAGAGAGAGAGAGACAAATAGAGAAAGAGAATTTTTCCAGTGCCAAATAAGTTTCCAAAATGTAAGTATTTAACATCTACAGAATTATTAAGGTCTCTGACCTTAAGTTTCCAAAAGTTTCCTGAATTTTTCAGTCTCCAAAATTCCCTCTAATCCTTGTGAACAATGCAGAATATCTAGTTAATTTTCTAGTGAATAATATCATCAGCAGGGCATAAAGGTACACATCTGTACTCTCAGTTACTCAGGAAATGGAACCAAAAGGATCATGAGTTGTAAGCCAGCTCAGGTAAAGCTTTCAGATATTCCCTATCTACAAACCAAAGGGCAATTAGTGTGGCACAAGTGGTGGGAAGCTTGCCTAGCATGTCCAGGCCCTGGGTTCAAGCTCCAGTACTATAAAAATAAAAGAAAATATCATTATTGATTCTTCTCACCTACTACATCTGCCTTCTTTTTCCTTTCTTCCCAAACTTCCCTTAAATATTTTCAAAACTAAAGTGCAACAGGGGAACAGGTTGAAAAATTCCCTCCCTTCCTTTACTATGCTTATTTTTATCTTTCTTACCCTCTCGCTTTCCCAATCATTTACATTCTCCTCTCTTCAATTTTGTCCTTACCTTGATCTTTTATCTTTATGTACACAAAGTAGCATATTACTGAGTTTTACAAATTGGACATCCTCTTTTAGAACATCAAACTCTTACAAAAAATAATATGAGTTTGCTGCTTTCACTTGTTTATCACCACTCACTCAATTTTTACAAATAAGTTGTAGTATATTTATAAATTGGATAGTTGTTCCACGTCTATCAATGTGGAAATTCTTAAAAACAGGATCTAGATAAGAAAAAATAGAACTGTAAAGCTTTAGGTATAGAGATTGCACATAATTTGTTCTAGAGCGTGTTGTTTACATGAATAATGATAGAAAAATCAAAAGCATTTTTATTAATTGCAATATTGAAAAAGAGGTAAGTTACATTCCATAACATCTTAGGCTTTTGCACATATTTTTAAGATTTCAGGTAAAATAAAAGATCTATATTGGTTGGTAAGAAGTCAGACTAATGTTTATTGTACTTTAATTACTCTTATACTTTCTGGATATTTTTTAAGAATGTGTTTGAAATTCTCTTCTAATAATTCATGAGTATGTTACTTTATGGGGTATTATTTGGACCTTTATAATTAACATTGCTTACTGATAAATTAGGACTCATAGCTGTCAAGATGTAGGAAAAAGGGGGAAATCCATTTAAGTATACAGGTGGCCTAAAGAGAACAGAGATGTGTATGCTTGGTGAAAGGTGGTGATAAATTATGTCAGAGTCAAAGCAAGTGCTATGGAAAAAGTAGCTATCCAGTAGGAAATGGTAGAAATGGGATCATGGGAAGTAATCTAGAGGAATATGGTTTGAGGACTATGAAAAACAATTGTGTAAATGGCAAATAAGCCATAGTTATTGTACTCAAGAAGACATGTCCCACTGCTGCCTAAAAAGGCAATTAAACATCTGAGTAGAGCTCATGAGGAACAGTAGACTTAAGTATAGGAAGCCATGAGAACCAAAAGAAGGGACAAAAAGCTAGGCTTAGAGATTTAGGACAATTTTCTTTAGGATATGGCATGCAAGCTGCGATTAAGTGGTCTTCCTATTAAAGAGAAAAGAATGTGAAAGTATTTCAGGAAAATTCAAATATTGCCTTGTAAAGTCTATATGGAAGGCATGCATGTGTAAATAAGATAGAGAAAATGATATACCTGTATTGGTGCTGGGTCACCATGGGCTTTCTACACCATGTGAAGCACCTGGATCTGTCCTTAAACAAAGTGGTGGCATTAACATTCTTCTTTGCCAACTCACATACAGGTCATTGAATATCTTGGTCACAAATACCTTGAAAGATTATGACTTACAAGTGTCAAATGAGAAATTATGTTCATCTCATTTTCTGATAGACTTGCTAGGAAACCCACATATGTAGCTATTGAAGCATGTTGGACAGATGGAAAACCCATGCATGGTAATCATGTTTCCATCCCATAATACTAAAACAAAAATTGTAAAATGTCTTCTGTTTTTTAAGAATCATATAGAAAATTTTGTGAATAAAATGACATTAGGTATAATTATGTCAGGCTAATAATTATCACTCAGTCTCAATTTTTTTGAGAAGGCATTTGTAATACAGAATAAAAGAGTTTTTCCTCTTAATAACTAATGTTTACCTCTACTTCCATGTTCTTCTTCACATAAACTACTACAATCTTCTTAAATTTTGCAATGTTTTCCTTTCAAATTAATTTCTCTGAAATTCCACATTGGTAACATTTTGAGTAATGGGATTGTCTATTTGGTAGAAGCAAATTTATTCTTCTTAAAAGTATTGGCATGATTTTAAAAGTCTCTATTTCTGGTTGTAACCCTCCCAGGAATGCTAAGTAAGGTATATACAAGGCTAGCATTGTGTCTTAATATTAATTTATTACTAATTTTTATGCATATAATTTTATTTGCTAATGTAGTACAGTTCTCAGATTATTTTTATTGTGTTTTTGTTTTTTGGTTTTATTGTGTTTTAAAATTTTTGAAACATTGCATAGTTAGTTACTTTATCTATTCTTGAACTCAATTATAATCATTGTACATACAAAGTAACAAAGTAATTCATAATTATGTTAATGTACTAATTTTAAATTCCTGACTTCTGCATTTTTATTTTTAAGAACAACAGCATTTTGCTTGTTCCAATGCTCATATTTAACACAAGTGAAAAAATGTGACATTTGTACTCTAGTCTTTGGAAGAAATTTGAACTAAACCTACTTTAGAATTAGCCAGCTGACAGAGGTCTGTGTGGAGGACTCAAATGGTATGAGTAAAGCACAGTATGATATAGCAAGTAAATTTGTATGTATGAGACAGCATAAGAAGTATGACACTCACAGTAAAAGCAGAAAATAGCAAGCCACAGTTCAGGACTAGTAGCTCAAATGGACTCAAGGTCACTTCCTTTTGTGTACCTTAAGTTACACAGAAGTAAAGAATGGAAAAATGAATTTTTGGTGAAAAACATTGCCTGAGGAAAAGGAAGAGAATATTTATTCTACTGTGTGGACCTAACACAAGGTGTAAGGCTCATGGAGGAAAAAATGTCATTGGTAAAGGTTGATTTGCTCCTTCCACATTGTTGGGTAAATGAAGGTTGGCAGTGACTAATAATGTATCGATTTTCTTTGATCATAAACTTGGATGATAAAAGAGTAGGCAAAAACATGCACCTATGCAAAGGGAATGATTCAGAATTCCCTGTATCAAGAGCTAACTTTGGAATTTTTATTAATATCCATGGAAATATCCATCCATGTTTCTCTTACAGGCTTGGAAAACTAATATTTTAATTTCTTCTATAATAGAGATAATTCAAAGAAGCATATCTATCAATATCATCCTTTCTATTGCTAATTATTCCTTAATCAACCTTGTCTTGGACCCATTGTGAACCATATGCTTTTGGAGATGGAATAAAAAAATTTAAAAAAGAAAGTGTAAAAGATAAAATAGAAAATGGAAGCAAGAAAGGGAATAAGTAGGCAGGAAGAAAAAGTAAAGGGAGAAAGAAAGGGAGGAAGGAGAAAAATATTAATGCACAATATAAAGAATATTATTATATATAACCATATATATGCTTAATATATGAATATCACCTAGCAGAATAAATCTTTGTAAGTGATATAATGTGTTAAATATATTTTAAACCATGCAAGATTCACATCCATTTATGTGAGCATGATCAATCCAACCTGAATATTTATTTCCTAGAATTATAACAAACACATATTAAATTTATTTAAATTAACATTTTTGACAGTTTGATCTACCTTGGTCTCTCTGCATTAATTTATTACATTAATTTTCTTGAATCCAAGTGAAATTGATCTTACATATTTCAGAATTGCTGCTTTTTCTCTAATACTAAACTTGTTTTTCATTTTTTCCCTTTCTCTCTTTCCCTTATACTATGGCACATTCCTTTGTTTTTCCTTCTTTACCATTTCTTTCCTTTTACCTGATTTTCCTCCTGCCTTCCTTATTTTATCTTCCTCTTCTACTTACATGCAAAGGATGGGCTCTTTACTACTGGATGTGGTTTCAGATTTTCCAGTTGGAAAAGTCCTCTAATTGCCATCATATTAGCATAGTAAAACAGAGGTAAAGTGATTAAAATGCCAAAATAACACCTTATAATTAAGCAGATAAATGCTTACTCGTCCATTTCACAGATGGCCATGGGATCCTGGTCACATGAGGAGGTGGAGGGACAATGACAAACTCACAGTATCTCAGTTCAAACCAATGCCCTCTTCAGAACCCTTTACTACCTTCCCATGGTGTGGGAGGCTAGGGTTACTGGAATTGCCTTCTCAAAGATAGCAGGAGCCAGGGTCCCTGGATTTGTCATGATGGGTGCATTGTTCTCTGTGAGGCCCATACTGAGTCAAAGTACAGTGCAGCTGAATTTCAGCAGACAGTTTATTAAAGAGAGTACTGTGTCCTTCCCCATACAGTAGGTCTGTTCAGGGCAAGGGAATTTACATTTCTACCACCTTCTAGATAACAATGATGTTGCTGGTTAATGACCTGACTTTGAAGATCTCTGCTGTAAAGAGTGCTCATGGCATCCCTGCTCTCTGGCTGCAGTTTGTCTGTGTTACTGGAAGCCCGTCTTGGATGAACTCCTTCATCAAGTATGTGGCTGTTGAGCTAGGACTTGGACATCCATCAGTGATCCCAACATCTGTGTATCACTGACCACACGCCATGTGTAAAGTTGGACCAGTTCTGTCCATGAGTCTGAGGTTTTGCTTCTTCCTTGGTCTCTAGGCTCTTCCAGCCTTGCACCTGCCCCTCTGCACACATAGACACCTGGTACTACAACACCTGCTTGCTGTAAATGGTCAGGAGCAAGGTGAGCCCTCAGCAGGTCGAGCTGGGGTGAATAGGACACAAAATCTTGCCCTGTTTGAGTCTCCTGGGATTCCTCCATTCACAAATGCAAATCCTAGTCCTTCAGCTGTCCCCAGAGGGTATATGTGGGACAGTCAGGCAGTTATGGAACTCAATTTTGTCAAAGGAGACACTGGAGTGTCTGTCCTGTCTGTACAAGGGTATAGTAGTTACAGGATGACTACCCTGTGGCACAACACAGTGACATACTTCAGCACTAATCTTGACTTGGCAGTGACAGTGATCCCAGAAGTCTGTTCATATTCTGCCAAAGAATTTTTCAATTTTTTTTGTTTCCTTTTTTTTTTCATTTTTCTTTTATTATTCATATGTGCATACAAGGCTTGGTTCATTTCTCCCCCCTGCCCCCACTCCCTCCCTTACCACCCACTCAGCCCCCTCCCTCTCCCCCCCCCAATACCCAGCAGAAACTATTTTGCCCTCATTTCTAATTTTGTTGTAGAGAGAGTATAAGCAATAATAGGAAGGAACAAGGGTTTTTGCTGGTTGAGATAAGGATAGCTATACAGGGCATTGACTCACATTGATTTCCTGTGCGTGGGTGTTACCTTCTAGGTTAATTCTTTTTGATCTAACCTTTTCTCTAGTACCTGTTCCCCTTTTCCTATTGGCCTCAGTTGCTTTAAGGTATCTGCTTTAGTTTCTCTGCGTTAAGGGCAACAAATGCTAGCTAGTTTTTTAGGTGTCTTACCTATCCTCACCCCTCCCTTGTGTGCTCTCACTTTTATCATGTGCTCATAGTCCAATCCCATTGTTGTGTTTGCCCTTAATCTAATGTCCACATATGAGGGAGAACATACGATTTTTGGTCTTTTGGGCCAGGCTAACCTCACTCAGAATGATGTTCTCCAATTCCATCCATTTACCAGTGAATGATAACATTTCGTTCTTCTTCATGGCTGCATAAAATTCCATTGTGTATAGATACCACATTTTCTTAATCCATTCGTCAGTGCTGGGGCATCTTGGCTGTTTCCATAACTTGGCTATTGTGAATAGTGCCGCAATAAACATGGATGTGCAGGTGCCTCTGGAGTAACCTGTGTCACAGTCTTCTGGGTATATCCCCAAGAGTCGTATTGCTGGATCAAATGGTAGATCGATGTCCAGCTTTTTAAGTAGCCTCCAAATTTTTTTTTGAGTGGTTGTACTTGTCTACATTCCCACCAACAGTGTAAGAGGGTTCCTTTTTCCCCGCATCCTCGCCAACACCTGTTGGTGGTGGTGTTGCTGATGATGGCTATTCTAACAGGGGTGAGGTAGAATCTTAGCGTGGTTTATTCTGCCAAAGAATTTTCCAATTTTTTTTGTAGTACTGTGGTTTGAACTCAGAATCTCCTGCTTGCTATGCTGGGGTTCTACCACTTGAGCCATGCTGCCAGCCCATTTTTTCCAGTTTTGATTTCCGTTGTCAGTAGCAATACAGATGATGAGCTAAAATGGCAGCAAGTGTTCCCCTCCTGGGGACAGGGGCCTCCACCCCACCTCTCTGGTCAGCTGAGATGGCTCACAGTCTCCATGATCTAGCATGCAGCTGGGAACCACGACATCATTTAGTTATAGTGTACGGAAGTACTTCCTGTGTCTAAGACACTGTGACAAATTCTTTTTTCTTATGTTTCAACAATACTGTCTGTTTAAAATTTCTTTTTTTATTGTGCTAGGGATATTTGTGGCATGTACCAACGTTCTTACAATACATCAAATATATCATAGTTAATTCATCCCCATCCATCATTCTCCTTTACCTTCTCCCATTCCTGAAATAATTTCAACACGTCACATTTTTCCAAATTCACACATGTGTACATGGTATTTGTACCATATTCACCCTCCTTCACCCTTTCCCCACCTCCTGTCCCCTCCTAATTGTACCAAACTCCCCGCAGGCAGGATGTCTTCTCTGCTTTGATTTTGTCAATGAAAAAAAATGACATTTTTGTTTGTTTAAGATAGCTACAAAAGTAGTTTTCTTGTGACATTTCCATGTATACATGCATTATATCCTGAATTGGTTCATCCACCCTATTTTTCTTTATTTAACCTAGTCTCCATCTTATGGTAATTTTGAAAAGCTTAAAAATTTTACATTCATTCTTGTGTAGGAGACACTGTGACACATTCTTAGAGGGGTCTGTTTCCATCAGAGGTTGCTACAGATTGTGTAAAGTGCCCAAGTCATGTCACATAGGGGCATTGTGGAATAAATCACTCTGGGAGGGTCTTTGAGAGTGGGAGAGGGTATATGGCAGAAGTAGAGAGTTAGAAAATCATCTGGTTGTGGGGTATTAAGAGTCCAGCCAGCTATATAGATTTTCTGAAACAGAGGGTAGGGAGAAAAATGAAGATGTGAAAATGAGCCAGCAAGAAGAAAGTCAGCATTTGGGCAGGGATTCAAATGCCAGGAGGAGATGTTTTTTCCCAGAAATAATAGCTGCTACCTTCCCTCTGAGCTTCTGGTTCCTCTACTGCCATATGTTTCAAGGTCTTGCAGACCACAAGAGGTCATACGTAGGACTATGTACACTAAGTTCCTAGATTGTCGAGCATCTTTAAATCTATATATTTAATCTCATCTACTACCATCATGATAAACTTGTTAGCTGAAGTGCATGACATAAAACATAAACCACAATACAGCAGTCACCCCAACCATGGAGAGGTTATGCCCCAAGACCCACAGTGGATACCTGACCCAAGAGAGTGCAAACTCCATCTGTACTCTTTCCCATTGTTGCATACACTTGATACTTTTTTTATGTATGTGTTAAATGTTTTCTTTTTTCCTTTTTTTTATTGTTGTGCTGGGTAGTGGTACATTGTGGAATTTATGAAAGTTCTTGCAGTATTTCAAAGATATCATACTTGAATTCACCTCCTCCACCATTCTCCATTATCCCCCCCTCAACCCATTCCTGGAATACTTTCAACAGATCTCAGTTGTCCATTTACATACATATGTACACAGTATTTGCACCAAATTCACCCTCCTATACCGTTTCCCCACCTCCTTCCCCTCCCACTGGTACCAATCCCCCAGACATGACCTATTCTTTCCCCTTTTCTCTGATTTTATAAAAGAAAACAATGATATGATATTTTTGTTTGTTTAAGATAGCTGCAGGGAGTTTCCTTGTGACATTTCCATGTATATATGTATGACAAATGTATTGCTTCATCCCTCTATTCTTTCTTCCTTAGTCCCCTTCTTATAGTGGTTTCAACACTTCTATATTCATTCTTGCCCTTGATACATTTTTTTTCAGTGCTGGTGTTTGAACTCAGAATCTACACCTTGAACCACTCCACCAGCTGTTTTTTGTTATGGGTTTTTTCAAGATAGGGTATCATGACCTATTTGCCCAAGCTGGCTTCAAACTGTGATACTCCTTATCTCTTGCCTCTGGGGTAGCTAGGATTACAGGCATGAGCCACCTGTAGCCAGTATTCTTGATTCATATTAATGTATAAAATAGGCACAGCAAGAGATGAACAACAAAATTAGTAATATGATAGAATAATTACACCAATGCACTGCAGGAAAAGTTATGCATCATTCTCTTCCTGTCTGTCAATATATCCCATGATAATGTCCTGATCCTTCCTGCTTATGGTGGGTACATGAAGCTGCACAGAACCAATCCTCTGATAAGGAGGGTCTTCTGGTTTGTTCTGGTTTTTGATTTGTGTGTAAGTGTGTGTGTGTGTGTGTGTGTGTGTGTGTGACACACTGTATAGCCAGGCTGGCCTTGAATTCATAATCCTGCTACTGCCTCTCAAGTGCTGGGATTACAGGTGTGTGACACATTGTCCAGATGAGAAGGGACTTCTGTGTTGGGAAAGGTATGTCTGTGGGCTCAGCTTTAGCATTTCTCTCTTGATTCCCAGCATGGTATGGGCATTCCTTCCATCGCCATCATGTTACATGAACTCATCAAGCTGCTGAAGGTGCTCAAACGTCACCATCATCTGCATTGGCACTTCTGGTGGGATAGGTGAGGGCTGGGGAGGTTGATCTTGCCCTGTGAATGGATGAGGGACCAGAGCTGCTTGTAGCAGCTCCAGCATGGCATGGGATTGGGTACAAAGTGTGTGCTCCCTTGACATTTTTCAAGAGAGCTTCTTAACAGGAGATGGAAAAGGAAGCTTGTTTGGTTACATTTTGTTCAGGGCATCCTCCCAGTTGGAACCCCAGAGATGGGCAGCAGACAGTTGCCGGGCCTTGCACAGGCACAAGTGCATTCATCTGGGCTGCACAGTCTGTGCCTTTGTATTTGCCTGATTTCCTGTTTATTTTTTCCCATTCCTCCTTCTCCTCAGCCTCTCCTTACTCACTGCCACCACTCTTTCTTCCTGCAAAGATTTTAATCATCTCATGAGAAACACAGATGGGAATCAAAGGGGGAAGACAGGTGGGATACACAGACAAGAAAAAAGTCCTTAAATGAACTCTAAACTTCGCAGTTCTCAGCAAGTGTGTGTCTGTGGGTGTTTTGAACAAACAGGGCAAAGAAAGAACAGGATTTAATGAGAAAGCAAACTGCTGAAATTTGTTGAATTTTGTGTGTGGATAATCACATACCAGAGACAGAGTAAACTATAAAGTAAAGAAATTTATTGGCCTCATGCTTATGATCCTAAGTTGAAGGGAATCATTTGGTGAATTCATCTTCCAGAGTCCCAAGATGGTGCAAGACATCATGATGATGACAGAGTGTCAGCCTAGCCCAACTGACTTCTACAATCAGGCCACTCCTGAGTTTTCTCATTAACCCATTTATCTCAATGAATGTATGCAGCCACTCACTAGGACAGAGCCCTAATTACCTCTTATAGGCCCCAGTTACTCCTACCTCTTATATTTCAACATGGGTTTTGATGGGGACCTACCTTAATTAAGCCATAGCACTAAGCAAAGTCTCTTAGTCTAATTGGTTTTAAAGATTCTATCCTTCACCCTGACATCACAACTGCATGCCAGTCTTCCTACATGGAACTGGATGCCAGATTGTCTTTCTCTCAGGGGGGAGATTGGGCTCATGTGGAGGAGCTTGCATCCACTGTGGGGCAAGTTTGGCTCAGATGTTGATGGTGACCACCAGGTATATATGCAATTGTTCCTCATGTCTAGACCTGACTGCTTATGGAGTAGGGTGATTCCATCATTTCAGTGGACTTGGTTTAAATGCCTGATCTTCTGAGAGACTGATATAAAATTTGTGTGCATGGTTGCAATTCCAGCACAATCATGATGACCTATTTGATGGAGTGCCATCAATGGGGAAACACAGGAGACAATGGAAGACTGTATCCTTTGATACAGGATGTAGAGACCCCTGGTACTATCAGTGTTCTTTACACTTTCACCTGTGTGTCCACAGTGTTATGTGTGAATTCAAAGTCAGTTGAGCTTCCCATATGAAACAGGATGACTGACTTTATCACAGGGCTGGATGCTTTAGTACCTGGATGTGGTGATGGATTGCATTACTTTCTGCCCATACTCTCTGTGTACTGTCCTATCCTCTCTCCTCAGCTGTAATGTCTCTTTTTCAGGTCTGGAGCCTGGCTCAGTGCTCATAACCTGGCAGGCAGTGGGCGCCTGCTTCAAGGCAGAGTTTGAACAGCTTGCCCTGGGGAAGCAGGTGGTTCGGAGTACAGACCTGGATGAGCAGCTGGTGCAGGAGTTGTTGCAGTGCTCTGTAGACCTGAGCGAATTCACCACTGTTGTGGGAAACACCGTGTGTACCTCGGACTTCTATGAAGGTGAGATAATGGCAGGGCAGCTCTGCTCACAAGAAGCCATAGCCTGTCCCTAGCTTGCCTGCTAATGGTGGGCTGCTGTCTGAGGTGCTGTGGCTTCATGGGGGCTGAGGACCCAGTCTCACATTTCTGTGCAGGTTTTAATGAGCAGCTGTGCACTTGTGAGAGCAGGCAGGGCTTGTGTGGGCCTCCCTGTCTCTTGTCCTAGGGTCATTATGGTTCAGAAATGCACTAGGAGCTGATAGCATGCTCCTGGTTATCATGTGTCTGTGCTGCAGGACAAGGCCATCTGGATGGTGCACTTTGCTCCTACACAGAGAAGGACAAGCAGGCCTATCTGCTAGCTGCTCACAAGGTGGGCATCAGAAACATTGAGATGGAATTTTCAGTCTTTGCTGCCCTGTGAAATACATGTGGCCTCTGAGGTAAAGGGGAATTTGATGGCCTGGGCACCTTTCTTCCTTCATTTCTGCTCTACTGGCCCTTCCTGGAGTCCTGCCATGGTTCCTCTTCCTAGAGCAGCCTTCCTAAAAAGCTGGTGTCTGTCTTTTATCTACCATGCCTTACAACTCAGTATCTGACCAAGGTGGTATTGCTGTGCCCTAGGTTACAATGTGTTTTTATTGTCATATGGCAATATGTAGTAACTTACTGTCCCTGAAGGGAAGGAAGGAAGGGAGGGAGGGAGGGAGGGAGATAGGAGGAAAGTGGGGGAGAGAAAGAGAAGGATAAACAAGCCAGCTCTGATCATGGTTTGCTGCCTAATGAGATGCCTACACTCCTACCAAGAGCTTGACTTTTATCACTCTTTAGCCTGCCAAATGTGACTAATTCCTGCCTTGGTCCAAACCACCCTTCAATTCCAGCTCAACTTCCCAGAATTCTCTCTATGCAGTCACTTCAGCCAATGTGCTCTTTTAGCTCTTTGGAAGTGTTCCTGGGATTCCCTTCTTTCTTTTTCCTTCCTTTCCTTTCCTTCCTGTCTCTCCTTCCTCTCTCCTTCCTTCCTTCTTCCCTCCCTCCCTCTCTCTCTCCCTCCCTCCCTCTTTCCCTTCCTTCCTTCCTTCTTGCAGACTGGAGTTTGTAATAATTTGTGAGGCACATGCTATGTAACTTGAGCTGTGCGCTCAGCCCTTTTCACTTTAGTAATTTTTCAGATAGATTTTCAGGTTTTTTTTCTTGCCCATCTTTCTCTCAAATTGTAAACTCTTCACCTAAGTACCTGGGTTCACAGGCATGGGGCACAGTGCTGAGCTTGCTTGGAAATTTCTTTTTGAAGCAAAAGCAATAGGAGAATAAAGATAGGGCAAGTTGGTGAGAGAGTGAGTGGAGTTTCTGGAGTTCCTGGATCCAGTGCCTTTCTTGTTCTGCTCTATCCAACAACTCTCCCCTGCTGTTACTCTGAACACAACTGGTTTTCTGAGTGGTAGCACAGGCTGTTCTGAGAGCTTCTGGGCTTTCCCTTTCTTCCCAGTGTACTAAGACAGACATTTGGCACTTAGTCTTGATGTGGTCTTTCCTTTTCACAGCGGCTGTGGTGTGTGTCAATGGAGTAGATGGCTGGAGTTTGGGTATCAATGCTTCTCTAAATAAGCCCATATGTAGTTTCTAGTTACAGTTAGGCAAATTCCTAGAACCTCCTAATCACCATTATTATGTCACAAGGGTTGCCCTGCCCATTCTCCACACTAGGGTACTTGGGTAGATTTGTACTGTGGACGGGATGCTTCCAGCTTTAGTCGCTGGAATGAGGACAACAGGAATGGGAATCCATGTAGTCCCCTCTCTTGTGTGACTGGCTGCAGGACTTGTCCCAAGCCCAGGATGGTTCATTGTTGGAGTATCACTGGCTCCTGCATGCCCCAGGTTCCCAGTGACTTCTCAGCTCTTCCATATCAACTCAGCCACTTTCAGGATGAAATTCTGTTTCCAGAGCTTGGCTGGATTTGTGTCCTGTGGGCACTGTGGCATGTGCCTATGCTCAGAAGCTTTGCTATGCAGCTGTCATGTGACTTGGAGTGGCACAGTTTGGTGGGTGGGAAGCTGGGTGTGGATGTGTGTGTGGTTTGTGCACTCTACCAAAAGCCTCTTCTCTGCAGTCCTTAGATGAAACCCAAATTGAGGTTCATTCAATGTGTTGTGAGCACACAAGACTTTCTGGGCGCTGTTATCAAGAATCCTGCCCCCGATTAAATTTAAAAAACACAAAAGATAAGGAAATTCTTTTGTATCCTTGATTCATGGGACATTTTCACCCTGCTTGGAATTTGCATTGGGTTAAACTTAGTTATACATCTATTGTGACTTCCTAAGTCTCTTTTGTTTTGCTTTTTTTTTTTTTTTTTGGTAGCACTGAGTTTGAACTCAGAGCCTCATGTTTGCTAGGCAGGCATTCTACTACTTGAGCCCCTCTGCCAGCCCCTTCTAATATCTTTTGGGTTGGAAATACATACACACTAATGTCCTTTTCAATGTTGAAGCAGTGTTGAATTCCCAGATTAACCCTCTTTATATCTAATTATTAAATTAATATGCTTCTGGGATCAATTTCTAATTTTTTTGTGCACCCCTTCATGTGTGCTGTGAGCCAAATTTATCTCTACCTTGTCTTGTAATTCTTTGTCTGTTTGGGGCATCTTGTAATTTTGTCCAAATGAATTCTGATAATCCTGAGTAAAAGGGTTAAAAAATGCTCTTGTAATTTCTATGTTCTGGAATATTTTATGTACAACTGGTATTTCTTCATTAGGTAATTGGTATAATTTGCCAATAAATGTATGTGTGCCCTGAGTTTTCTTTGTCACAAAGTCCTTGACTGTAAGTTTATTTAACAGATACAGGTTGTTCATACAATCCAATTGTTCTCCAGTGAGTTTTAGTACATTGTGTGTTTGAAGAAATGTTCATTTTATCTGTTGTTGAATTTACAAATGAAAATGATGTGCAACCCCTTATGATCCTTTTAAGAGCTATTTCTTCTGCAGTGATGTTCTTTCAGTGGTACCTGATGTTGATAATTTGCATATTTTCCTTGGTGAGTCTAGAGATTTATGAGTTCACTTTGTTTTCGTTTTTGGCAGTACTGGGTTTGACCTCAGGTCCTCACACTTGCTGAGCAAGTGCTCTACTACTTGACCCACTCCACCAGCCCTGTTTGGTGCTGCATAGTTTTCATGATAGGGTCTCAAGAACTATTTTCCCAGAGCTGGCTTTGAACCATGATCCTCCTGATTTCTGCCTCCTGAGTCACTAGGATTACAGGTGTGAGCCACCAGCCTGTGGGTTTATGAATTTGCTTGCTTTCAAGAAATGTCATTTTGTTTTAATGTTTTTATTTTTTTATTTTTGTGGCACTGGGGTTTGAACTCAGGGCCTTGCGATTGCTAGGCTACAAGTTCATGTATTGTTGAATTTCATCAATGTTTGTCTTCACCAGGCACTCCCTTGGCTACTGTGTCTCATCACTCTTCCAATGTTTGATTGTGATATCCACTAACTGAAGCTCCCCACTACCCACCCCCAACTTAATAATTATTTTTGTACACACTAAAATTGGAGCTTCCTGCCTCCATTGCTGCCTTCTATAGTAAGGACTTCACACCCCAGCAGGGTTTCTGGACCCCAGAGTACCTCACTTGAATGCAGCCCTACTAAGGTTGAGGACACGAAGTATGGAAAAGGACAAGCATTGCCAACGGGCCTGCTGAGCTGGGGTGAAGACACCCAGCAAGTCTTCCAAGGGCTCTTATTTCCTGTCATGTACTTGGCCTAGAGTCTTCCCTCAACACCTTTCTGGACTCATCTTCTGTGGACATTGTCACCACTGATTCCCACCCTGTCTCCAGGCCTCAGTCTTCCTCTGCTGCAAGATTGTTGTGCCTCCAATCTTGTCCTCACACCAGAATGGTTTAAGAAGCTGCATGAGGGTTTATAATATAACTTCCAGGGATGGTGGGTGTCACTGATGACTGCCTGTTCAAGTGACTGGACAGGGGACCTTAGCTCCTCGGAAAGAAAGCAGACCACAGACAACAGGTATAATTGATCTTGGGGCCTCAAATGTCCTGTGCAGTTCTGTGTTTGATCAGATTATGCAGTGCCATGCAAGCCCTGGACCAGTCAATGGCAACCAAGAAGAAAAACATGGGATGGAGGAGGATTAAAGAAAGCAAGGGACTTTCATTTTCCTCATGTATTTTTTTTTTAGTACTAACTTATTTTTTTTATTTTCATTTTTCTTTTATTATTCATATGTGCATACAAGGCTTGGTTCATTTCTCCCCCCTGCCCCCACCCCCTCCCTTACCACCCACTCCGCCCCCTCCCTCTCCCCCCTCAATACCCAGCAGAAACTATTTTGCCCTTATCTCTAATTTTATTGTAGAGAGAGTATAAGCAATAATAGGAAGGAACAAGGGTTTTTGCTGGTTGAGATAAGGATAGCTATACAGGGCATTGACTCACATTGATTTCCTGTGCATGGGTGTTACCTTCTAGGTTAATTCTTTTTGATCTAACCTTTTCTCTAGTTCCTGGTCCCCTTTTCCTATTGGCCTCAGTTGCTTTAAGGTATCTGCTTTAGTTTCTCTACGTTAAGGGCAACAAATGCTAGCTAGTTTTTTAGGTGTCTTACCTATCCTCACCCCTCCCTTGTGTGCTCTCGCTTTTATCATGTGCTCATAGTCCAATCCCCTTGTTGTGTTTGCCCTTGATCTAATGTCCACATATGAGGGAGAACATACGATTTTTGGTCTTTTGGCCAGGCTAACCTCACTCAGAATGATGTTCTCCAATTCCATCCATTTACCAGCGAATGATAACATTTCGTTCTTCTTCATGGCTGCATAAAATTCCATTGTGTATAGATACCACATTTTCTTAATCCATTCGTCAGTGTGGGGCATCTTGGCTGTTTCCATAACTTGGCTATTGTGAATAGTGCCGCAATAAACATGGATGTGCAGGTGCCTCTGGAGTAACAGTCTTTTGGGTATATCCCCAAGAGTGGTATTGCTGGATCAAATGGTAGATCGATGTCCAGCTTTTTAAGTAGCCTCCAAATTTTTTTCCAGAGTGGTTGTACTAGTTACATTCCCACCAACAGTGTAAGAGGGTTCCTTTTTCCCCGCATCCTCGCCAACACCTGTTGTTGGTGGTGTTGCTGATGATGGCTATTCTAACAGGGGTGAGGTGGAATCTTAGTGTGGTTTTAATTTGCATTTCCTTTATTGCTAGAGATGGTGAGCATTTTTTCATGTGTTTTTGGCCATTTGAATTTCTTCTTTTGAGAAAGTTCTGTTTAGTTCACTTGCCCATTTCTTTATTGGTTCATTAGTTTTGGGAGAATTTAGTTTTTTAAGTTCCCTGTATATTCTGGTTATCAGTCCTTTGTCTGATGTATAGTTG